TAAAGGACGCATTCCACTTTTCCTTGACGGACAAAGCATTCTTCTCTGCGACCTATTATATGAAGATCTCATCTCTCTTACGACCATGGACTCTCTCCTCTTAACGATACTACGAACTCTCAACTCTTCATGATGAATGATGTATGACTTCGCTGGTCCGCATCTTGGACTCTGTTGTGTTCAGGTGCTCAGAGCAATTGACGGCACACCTCTGTCGCAGGCATATGGAGCTATACGCTACCCTAATTACCTGGCGACGTATCTGACTGTTGAGCGGCCTGGATGTGTATATTATAATGCATAGTGTATAGTATAGGTGTGTAAAATATATGCCAAAATTACGATAATATCCTTACAATTGTCAACCTGGACATCTGCCATGCCCAGAGCTCACACCTCGTAGTGATTGTAGTTTATGATTTGACATATTCAGTTTCAAGTCCTTTCCCATACTGCTCTTCAATGCCCTGATCCGCCTCGATGCTTGCCATGTCCGTTGGGTCACGTGACACAACAGTTCAAGCCAAACAGGCTACGTAATCAACGGCCCGGTGGAGCACAGGTATGGCCTTAGTATGATCGGGTTGTGTACACAGTAGCTTCATCCGCACCTCTCAATTGGAGATTCGACATCAAAACTTTCACTCCAGTCAGATCGCATCATCCTGCCAACTCATCCTGAACGTCCTCAATTCCAACCTGATTCAATTGACCGGCATGCCTCCTAAACGAGCAACAACCCCCGGCCCCTCCTCCCTCTCCTCCGGCCCAGCAGTCCTATCCTCTAATTCCTCCGTATACCAAATCGCCCACCACGTATGGCAGCAGTATCTCACCACAACGCCGCAGCGCACTATGCTGCTTGACGCCTTCATGGCGTTCCTGCTTCTTGTCGGGGCCGTGCAATTCTTGTACTGTGCTATGGCTGGAAACTACGTAAGACCGGTTCCCTTCGGGTTGAAACAGATTGGGATGGGACGTTGATGCTGACGCTGGTTGTGATGTTTCGCACAGCCCTTCAATGCTTTCCTGAGCGGGTTCTGCGCCGCGGTCGGCCAGTTCGTGCTTACGGCTAGTTTGCGCATGCAGACGAGTAGCGAGCAGAAGGTTGGGAGCAGTAAGCCCAGTTCGAAGGGGAAGAATGCGCGGTTTGCCGCGGTGGAAGGGGAGGAGGGGCAGGGTGCAGTGTCTCATGAGAGGTGAGTTTGTTTTTTTCTGGTTTTCGTTGGGGTTTGCGAGTATGTGAGATGGGGATTGCTGACTGGGGTGCTGCTGGTAGGGCGTTTGCGGATTACATCTTCGGGAGCTTGATTCTGCACTTTTTCTGTATCAACTTCATCAATTGAGTGCGGGCTGTTTGGTGGAAGTGGTGAGATATTAGTCAGTGGAGTTCGGAAGGATACCGTGCATGTTGTCGGCTTGCGAGACGGAAGGCGCTTTATCTTCACTTCTTCAGGGTCTGCGCGGTACTTGGTAGAGCTTCACCGGGATAGATTATGGGACTGTACTTTATTGGCCTCGGCCGTTTTATACTTCAGTGTCGAGATAAAAGTACTATTGATGTCTGGACACCCAATAGCTGCACCAGAATGGCATCACATTCTATCTATGGATAGAGTTTAGAGCCCGCTCTTTGAATGAACGCCACTAGATCTGTACATCGGGTATATGTCTATGCTTGAATATGATGCTAAAATGCTCGTCCGGGTTTCCTCTTGATCTGTGGCTTCTTGACCACGGTACCTCCACCGCTTGCTCCATTGGCGCCGTTTCTCATGCTCGAAGATGCGGTGACACCACCAACTCTTCGTGCGCCGGTAACAGGTGGACGTCGCACAACAGATCCCACCTCCACTTCCTTCTTGCGTCTGGAGGGATCGTTGCGCTCCTGCTCTCGTAGCTTCTCTGCCGCGGCGCGCTCCCGGTCGGCGGCCATCTGGGTCTCGATCTCCATCCGTCGATTGAACTCCTGTTCGGTGACGCGACGTTCTCGCTGGGAATAGCCCTTCTCTTTGACGGAGTAGAAGACACCGCCAAGCTCGGCCAGCCACTACATTCTCAAGATTAGCCTTTGCTGTTTCACTGTTTCAGATGCAGATGGAGTAACTTACGTGTGGGTCCACAGCAGTCACAGTCGACATATACTCCTTGCTCGTCAAGATCAATTCGTGGTAGACCACGTATTCTGGCACATAACCCAGACCATACAGAGCGCTTGTGGGGTGGAGCTGCATGCTCACGCTTGTCCGGAGGTTGATGAACTCGCCGATACCCTTAACCCTGGCAGCTTGGTGATAGAAGCCGGAGCAGATGCACTTGCGGATCATGTCCCAGTCTGTTCCACAGCTTACAAGTCGCATCTTCTGGACTGTCATAATATCATGAAGTTGCTCACGGACCTCCTTGGCCCGTCGCAGAGCCTTGGGATGAAGAAAGTGTTTGATACACCATCCATCGGAATAACCATTGGATTTCCATTGAGTGTAGACGTGAAGGAGAGTCAAGTGATCAGACTCCGGAACGAAGAATTTCTCGCGCGCCGCATCCGACTCTTCTTGCCGCTCCTTTGGACGATAGAAGACACTAGGAACCGAGAGCATGGAAACGATCGTCAGCATCTCCTCACTGCACCCGTATTCCTCAGACGCCGTGATGAGCAGCTTAGCGAGCGGAGGGTCCATGGGGAAAGGAGTCATAGCGCGGCCTAGCGGAGTTAGGTCACCCAGATTATCCAACGCGCCCAACGACCAGAGCTCAAAAAGGGATGTCGAAATGGTCTCCTGCGGTGGTGGGTCCATGAAATCAAAGTCCAAGAGATCCTTCACTCCAAGTGATTTGAGAAGCAAAACAGTGTTTGAAAGACTTGTTCGCTGGATTTCTGGTATCGTTTGTAGATACAGTTCATTCTTGTAGGCCGTCTCAGTATACAAACGATACGCTTTTCCAGGTCCCGTCCGACCTGCTCGGCCGGAGCGTTGGTTCGCGTTGGCTTGAGAGATAGGTGTGATCTGGAGAGTATCCATACCCATGCGTGGATTGTACACTTTCAGCTTTGAATATCCTGAGTCCACCACAAACATGATTCCATCAACCGTCAAACTTGTTTCAGCAATGTTCGTGGCAACGATGACTTTCCGGACGCCAGGAGGGGCCCGTTCAAAAATCTTCGCCTGCTGTTCTGCCGGCATCTGACTGTATATCGGCAATATGCTAAGTTTCGGCGGATCATTGAGCATCTTCAGTCGCTCGTCAATCAACTCGCACGTTACTTCGATATCTTCCTGACCTGTCATGAAAACAAGGATGTCCCCGGGACCCTGCGAGACATGAATAGCCAAGACCTGCTTGACCGCACTGTCGACGTAGTCCTCGCACGGGGTGCGGGAGAAGTGAAGATCCACCGGGAAAGTTCGTCCTGGAATGATAAACTCCGGAGCACCACCAAAGAACCGAGAAAAGCGTTCTGAATTCATGGTGGCTGAGGTGACAATCAGCTTCAGATCTCTTCGTCGCGCCAACACCTTCTTCAAAAGGCCCATCAGAACATCGGTATTCAAAGCTCTTTCGTGCGCTTCGTCCATGATGATGCAAGAATACTTGTCCAGATCCGGCTGAACCAACGATTCTCGCAGAAGCACACCATCAGTCATATACTTGATTACTGTATCTTCGCTGGTGCAATCCTCAAACCGGATAGCATAACCAACTTCCGCGCCAAGATCCACCTCCATCTCTTCACTCACACGTTTCGCAACGCTCATAGCAGCCACCCGTCGAGGTTGCGTGCAGCCAATTATGCCATATTTTGAGTATCCGTCCTCGTGAAGGAATTGTGTCAGTTGAGTCGTTTTACCAGATCCTGTCTCACCAACCACCACGATCACTTGATTGTCTCGTATGACTCGTAATAAATCCTCTCGCACGGCGAATGCAGGCAGATATTCCCTCTGCTCGCGGAGCGTCTTGCTCTTGCTGAAAGAACTTTGTCCGCCTTCATCCTTTTTCAGGTGCTGAGCGAACTTGTTCCCACTTCTGAAAGTATCCTCGACGGGCATGGCGACAGCACTGTCGCCTTCATCTTCCTTGACACCCATGATATTTCCCAGCGCCGTGCCTGCCATTGTTGTTGCCTCCTGCGCTTGCTTTTGACGCTCCCGTTGCTGACGCCGCTCTCGAACGACCTTGCTCCCTTTACGGCTGAACACGGCCATATCGCTCTGCGGATCACGGACGGCTGAGATAGGCTCCAGTTGCTTGGTAAAAATCGTGCGCCCGTCCAGGAACGGGGGTCGCAGATCGTGGACGAGCAAATGGACTCGAGTACCTTCTTCATCTTCTGGTAGAAAGTCGCCTTCAAAATCGCGCCGTTGCGCGACTCCAGACGTGAGCATCCGGTTTGTTTCCCAGTTGTCGATGTCCTTGCGCTTCGCATCGCGCAGGTGTGGCGGAAGATTGGAGCTCTTCAGCCTTTTGGCTGGAGGCATTCCGTCAGACGCCATGGTGAGATAGTACCTAGAAGAACTCAAACAAAGTCTTCCACAAAATTTGTATTGATATCTGAGAAAAACACTGAGTGGCACAGGAATGGCCACCGAGTGCTTGCTTCGAGCCAGATGCTGGGCAAGTGTACTCCGTACTCCGTAGAAGTTCTGATAAACTGCGGAACGGATTATCGCCGATGGGGCAAACAGTGCAAACAACGGCCATCCATGTCACGTGCTCCGATCTAAAGAGGGGCCAGGGAAGGTCATGAGATTGAGAGACAATAAGAATAACCTTTTCGCATGCTCAATTAAATATCAAGACTACGATATTGTAAGATGTAGTAAATCTGAACCGGAATTTTATCCAGACTGCAGCTTTGCTGTCCTTTGTAGATGCAGCTTGAAACCAAAGTATGAAGTTAGTCCGCTTCTCTCCGCGCGGTGGAAATCGAGCACAACGCCCCGCATCGCACTTTGAGCTTGCAACAACAGAGTGACAGCATTCGATATCAGAAAATGGCCAGCCAAGCCCAAATAAACCCCAAGAAGCAGCAGGGTATGCCGATGAGTTCTCCTCTCATTTCCACACAGTAACAAAGGCTAATTTGAAGCAGAGCTTCAGCTCCAATATACCAACTTCAAGAATACACTCACACAGATGGCGCAGAAGATTGGCGACATTGAGCAGGAAGCAGAGGAACATAAGTAAGCTTCTTCTGCCCATTTTTAAACTGCTAACAGTAGTGACCTTTACTAGGCTTGTCGTTGAGACACTTGAGCCCCTCCCCGAGGACCGCAAGTGCTTCCGTATGGTAAACGGAGTTTTGGTCGAGCGGACAGTCAAGGATGTGCTTCCTGCGCTCAAGACAAACTCAGATGGATTGAAACAGGTGCTTGACGAACTTGTGAAGCAATATCAGAGCAAACAGTCCGAGTTGGACGATTGGAAGGTTAGTTCGCCAGTGCCCGGGCATCATTCAATGGTATTGAGGGTTGACTTCTTTCGTCTCATAGAAAAAGAACAATATCCAGGTCGTACAACCATGATTAGAAGAGCGCTTTCCTCTTTTCTTGTGATGGCAGTCTGAAATACCCCTTGATTCCTCTTCGATCCTTTTATCGGTCTTGGTGTCCCTGATCTCTTTTCGCGACCATGAGCGGGAATCGAAATTGCAAAAAGGCGTTAATAGGAGTCTCGAGGTAACTGCATTGAGCGCATCCGAGGCCATCTACTTTGTAATTTCAATGGTCTTATACTTGAACATTCACTCCAAGGAAGAGTTGGAACATGTTGCTTGCTGTCAGTTCGCTATCTGACAACTGTCACGACGCAGCTTCTACAGCTGTGCATCCTCCCGTGTCTGAAGACCAGGTTCACCGGGGATAAGACGTGATATCACACTGCCTTCGGTGTTCTGCTACGAGGAGGGAACTGCCTGGTACCTACTGGTTGTTGACATTATGAACTCAAGGTCAAACCATTTAGTGCTAGCTTGAGCTCATTATGCCAGTTTGACCCGTCAAGGAGCTTTTTCATTCCATTATTTAGAAATAACGTACGGCGTCTCGGACCGGAGACTCGCATGCCTTGAGACAGAGGTACTGTAGAGGAGCACGAGTGTAAATGGTTCATCCGCTGCTGGCACCCAATCTGGCAAACATATGCGTTCAATTCGAGTTTTCAAACGAAATGCAGGCAACTCGTGTGCAGCCTCGTCTCAGGTGAAAACCTGATTGTCCAACACCTTTGTCAAGATATGATGCCCGGTACTTTTGTCATGTCCATGAGCCGAGTCGACACCTTGCGACCTTCATCGTCTTATGTTTTGCTTGCTCCTGACCTCATGCTGTCATTGATGCCTGATGCCTTCTCCTGGTTTGGTCGAGCCAAAATCTTCAGGCTGGACGTTGGCTGCTGACAGGCAACATGTGTGTGCCTGAAATGCAGAGCGTTCACATCACAGCCTCACCAATGAGTTGTACTCAACTGCTGTCACTTCAAAGCAGATATCAGATTATTCATTACTCATCTGAGTATCAAGGGAGTACGCCAGTCACGATCTGGACCAAGCAAGCAAGAGCTTTTGTCGACCATCATTGTCATTGTCATTGTCATCGTCATTCTTGAACGCCATAGATACCAATAATCACGTGCATTTCCGTATCAATACATACCCCTTTGAGTATGTTCGGCAAATCTGGCGGCAACACGAGGTCATTGTCATAATTTATCGTAATCACAGTGTAAATGGACGCCTGAGGCCATCAAGCAAGCACGCTCTGCCTTCTTTTCCTGCGCTTCATGAGTCTCAGCTCGTCAGCCCTTCCATCTTTCATTCGAGTCATCAGGCCAATCAATCCACTACCTCGAAGTGATTAACTACATCATCAAAATTCGCTCATCTCCGTTCGAAGAGAGTGTTCCAATATATTCTGATTCCCACAAGTCTCATTGGCGTTCTCCAGTGGCCAGTGAGAGTTCCCCTGGTCTGCCCACACGTTCCTGGTTCGCCAATTGACTGCTGCGCGCATCGCATCCGTCTCCAGTCATAATCCTGAAATATCTACTGGATAATCGCAGGGCAGACAAGCTCCTAAGTGGACGAAACAGACAAAATACAACAGGCCGAGGACCATTCAAGCGAAAGAAAAGCTCCCGTTCGTTCCTCCCGTGGATCGGTCGTCTACTTCTGCGCAACGTGCCACTATCAATTTGACCCACCACTGTTGCATTGGTTGCTACGCACGGAAGACCCGCGTCACAGTGAGTTTTCTCCGGGTTTCCAGATCTCCCGCGTTGGAGCATCCCGCATACCTAGTTGACGATACCACTGCACCACTCCTCTTTGCAGTTCTGTAAGGCGGACCGTCCACAACACGCGAAAGGTCGCAGGGAGTAAAATTAACATTTTATCTTTCCGAATTTTTGGCCTAACATATCCTTGCGATTGGGCAACAAATCAGATTCAGTTGATCGAGTCACCATCTCACCTGGCGCGTCTTTCGTCGAATAACAGGTCCCTCGAACCTTGATTATACCACCAGGGCAGAAGCTATCGCAGAAACCATTGCTTGTCCCCGCACTGCTGACACTTGTGCTTCTACGTTCGGGCTGCTGTGAAGCGAATAGCTGCCCAGCCAGACACAACTCTATTTTGCCTTTTGACGCGAGTGTATCATAGCACCCGAGATCGATACATCCGAGGCACGCATCTCTGACGTGGTCTGCCAGCAGAGCAAATAGACGACGCTTTATCACATCCCCTATTCAGTATCCGCTGCGCGTATACATAGCTAAAAATCATGTCGGCCTCTCCCTCGAAAGAACCTGAGGTGGAACCTGAAGCGCAATCAGGTGAAGACCAAGAACACATGGATAAGGACCAGGAACAAACACAGAATCAGGGAGAATTCGAGGTGAAGGAACAAGATCGATGGCTCCCGATTGCGAATGGTTAGTTGCGTTCCCTTGCAGCTTCTCTTGTCCTCCTGATTTGCGCGTACCTTACGTCCAACTGCTGGCCAACAGCCGTCTGCCCTACTTCACTTTTGCCGTACCCTGCGTCCATCCATTTAAAACCCCCCAACTTGCCTCCTTAACCAAACAAACATCGCACTGTAAAAACCCTCATTCGCCTGCGCTTCGAGTGTAGTTCTGCACGCGAAGCGCCTTTCTTATCTGCAGGGATACAATTATCGTCATATCCTTATTGCCCGATGGCGTTCTTTTTGCGCCCTCCAAAGCTTCCACGCAATTGTCCCTCGCCAGTTTAGACGAATGATGGGTCACAGCTACATGTGCTAACATCTATCGTCAAGTGGCCCGTATCATGAAGTTGGCCTTGCCAGAGAACGCAAAGATCGCCAAAGAAGCCAAGGAGTGTATGCAAGAGTGTGTCAGCGAGTTCATCTCGTTCATCACCAGTGAGGGTGAGTGTTACTGCATGTGGCTGCTGGTACCTACCTGTCCAATTGACTAATGTATGCTTGCGCCTTGTTTCCTACAGCCTCCGAAAAGTGCCAGCAAGAGAAACGCAAGACGGTAAATGGGGAGGATATTCTGTTCGCCATGACCTCACTTGGCTTCGAAAATTATGCGGAAGCGCTCAAGATCTACTTGTCAAAGTATCGCGAGGTAAGACTTGTACAACACGCTCAGGCGGCCTGTCTCCCCACCAACGGTTGGTGGTCTGATGGGTTTGTAGTATCATGTGCTAAATACTCATCCAGACGCAGTCCGCCCGTGGCGAACATCAGAATAGGCCAACGAGCAGCGGCTACAATGCTGGAGGGCCCGTGGGCGGAGCCAGCGCGCAGGGTGGACGACCCGGTGCATCGGCTTCCGGCGGCTTTCCTGAAACTGCAGATAACACAAACAATATCATGAACCCTGGTCTGGACCCCACCGAACAGGATAGTTCAGCCTATGGCTACCCTCCGATGGTCGGCCAGCCTCACAATGGAGCAGGAGGCGACTCCTACTAAATACATCGTGTGTGACAGAGTTCCCCGCGCAAGACTCTCACACACTCCAAATCCTGCGCTGTCAGAATGAGAGTATACCCTCGAAGACTGTAAGACGGTGCTACCCTTGTTTCGGGGGTCGAGTCTGCCTTGGAACAGAGTCTCGAATTGCGTGTGGGGATGCTCCTAACGTTCTTTGAGTATTGCTCTCTGCGCAGCATTTTATGACATGGTACGAAACATTGGGCTATTTATGAGGTAATCGACAGAGAGGTAAACAGGACCAGTTCGGAGGCACTTTTTATTCTTTATTTTTACCCTTTTGATCATTGGTGTGCTTGTGCTTTCATCATCTGCGGCCTCTCTGTTTTCTTTTCTGCTATATGTTCCCTAAAAAGACGGTGTTTGTACACTTTCATAGTGGAGGTGTCGTGTGGAAACATTTCTTTTCATGCTTACAGCACAGTCATCTCGCGATTTTGCTGTTTGATCCTGGGAGGGCAGTTGGTTGCGAAGTATGGAATCATCATGTGTATTCATATATGCCACTTGTTGGTAATTTGTGACTTATGAGTATCTCTTGGGTGATATGGTGGGCCAATTAATCGATAGAAAGAAAGAGGTGGGACTTCGCTGTCCTCGATGAATGACCAGATTTTGAGATTGGTGGCTGTGCGGGTGTTTTGATTCGATTGAGTCAGGTGAGATGCTAACTTCCTGGACATATGCTCTGAAAACTATCGGGCATGCGCTTCCCTTGTGCATTGGTAGATCTAAGACAGAGTGAAAAGTCCCCTTGGTGGGATTGTTTTCATAGATAATGATATGTACGCAGATTGATGGGCATCAAATGAAAATCCCAGGTATCATTCGTTATCGTTCATCGGATATATGGTCATCTGAAAGAAACTGTCAGTTGTCCAAGCAGCGCTAGCCGTGCATCCATCCTCCATCCTGGAGAAGATCTGACATGGGTGTCTCCTGCCAATAGATCTGGCGCCATTCGTCTTCCAGCTCCGGGAGCCCGTCCATGCTCATCGGCAGTACGGACTGATCCGGATCCGTGAAGGAGAACAGCTGGCGCCAGTCCAGGAATTCCCTTGGCTGATCCATCGGATCGACAGTTGCCAGGTTCGTGGATGGAATCCAGTTGTCGAAGGGCTGGTTCTGGTGCGGGGAGACAGTGGTTGGCGGTAGAGGCGTCGAGTCCGGGGTGGGAACGTCGTAGGAGGGGAGGTGCCGATCTGGCTGTGAGGGTTGTAGAGGCGTGTCGGTTGAAGTGTGTTGATTCTGGTTCTTGTTCTGGTTCTGGTTCTGGTTCTGGTTCTGGTTCTGGGATTGGTCATGCGTGCTGCTAAAGGGTCTGGATCTTTCGCTTGTTGCCAGGCGCAGGTCCTCTTGTAAACGTTTCGAGTCTTCGAAGAGGCGTAGAATAGTGGTGGCGTGCGACCAGTAATTGGCTAGTTCGCGGAGTGAGTAGGAGGCGGAATCGAAGCGCCGCAGGGCGTTGATGGCTAGAACAGGGTTTGAGAATCGCAGCTCGACGCGAACTTGGATCATCGCCGTGAAAAGAGTATGGACGCCGGAATACCATAGGTATTTGAGACGATCGTTTAGGCGGAGTTCTTCAAAGATAGATGCGATGACACCAGCGGCCGCACTGCAGATCTCTGCATCATGCGGGCCGTAGTCGTCCGAGTACGCGGACGCCCTGGGATGGGGCCGGTGGAGAAGGATGAGAAAATTGTTGTAGGTCAAGTGAAGCATGGCGGACCAAGGATCCATATCCGAGGCACGCAGCCGCAGATTGTCTGGAAGCCTCAAAGACCAGTTTGCAAGAGCTTCATCTGCCTCTTGCAAGACGGCTTTGCGACGCTCCGAACTGACTCGTAGTCCGAATCGCTCGCGCACAATGTAAGATATCATTGTGCAAAGCTCTGAAAAATGAATGACATAGTCTGTCTGGACGCGGGCCCCACAGCCTTCAAAATCCGAGGCTGTCAACGGAGAGACATCGGAGTCCTCGAGGTTTCTGGTGCACGGAGAGATTAGGGCAGGTTTGAGACTTTGATCTGGGCGAGCACACTTACATAGCTTGAGGTCGACCATACGAAAGGGAGACCATAACATCGAACTGAACCAATATGTACCATAGCCTTCTCCACATCCGGCGGTCCCTAGGAACGAACCTGCTCGAGACTGGATTTCGATGCATGCCAAGGCCAGTCGCGATTCGAGCAGCAACACCGACCCAGTAGTGAGCGTTGGCAGAAACATCATCATCAGGGCTGTCTGAATGCCACGTCAAGAGTAGCGCAGCTTGCACCAAGGTATCACGGTTTCGCTCAATGCGATTGTCAAAGAGCCATTTCGCGCGACGGAAGAAAATTTCCTTCAAAGCGTCGCGCTCTGCTTTTGGATGTGTGATATGGCATCCGACTAACAGAATGGCTTGCAGAAGCAAGATAGGTGGAGGATCAGAAGGGTCTCGATTGCGATACTGACTCATGAACTGATCCTCTTCAACAATGGGATATCCCGGGTTCACGTGGGTGAAGTATGCCTGGACAAGCTCGTCGACAAGAGCCGACTCCGGTAGAGTCAGAGCGTCCACGAGAAGCTGGTCGTGACCGGTCTTCAACTGCCGTCGTGGTATCTCGTTGCCAGCAAAGTGATATACGTCGTCATCTTTATCACGCTGTTGACGTATCAAGAACGACATATTCGAGAGCTCGTGTCCAACATAGATTGCTCGCACACCCCGCTGAATTTCCCGAGCACCTGACCCTTCCTCATCGTCAATGAGCTTCACCAGTCGCTTCTCAAAGTCGGCATGGGCATCTTGTTCGACAGATCGGTCCGAAGCGGGCGGGCGGGGGTATTCCTGTGCCTGTGGAGACGAGCGACTATAACTATTGCCGTGGGGATGTTGCGCCTTGGACTGGACATTCAGAACGTCGCTCGCCGGAGGAGCTGCTGCTTCTGGCTGAACTCCGCGAAAAGCAGTTGTGAAGGCGGTTGGTTCGCTGATGGCCGATGGAGGAGAAGCTTCAAGGACATGCTCGGAGGCGGGAGGTGGCCGACAACGAATGGGAACGGGGTCCAGAATGGAGCGTACCGCAAGCCGCTTCTTCTTCTCATGGATGCGGCAATCTGCTTTCCCCGAGGAGCGGCAGTTGGAGCAGGGCAGACCAACGATACGTGCATCGCAACGGACTTTGCGCCGATGGCAGTGAACGCAGGCTGCAGAGCCTAAGGCAAAGGAAATCAGCATTAACATCGACAAGAACATTAAGGAGATAATATAGTCAACAGAGGTATTGTCTACCTGACTTGCGCTTGGTTACACCATTGCTGGTGGGTGAATGGCTATTCTGCGCTGTGGATGACATAGCAAAAGCATCGACGCAGTTTCAAGGCCCGTAGACTTTCTTCCTCATCATGTGAAGCCTTGAGAGGTCTGGAATGGGGGAAATCGATTCAGGACCCCGTCATGAGCCAGACAACCAGAAAGAAGAGCAAAAGTGGGAATAGGGAAGAAGAGGAGAGAGAAATCGCGGGAATAACGATAAAGACCGATAATGAAAGTGGGGAAAGTTGGTCTGGGGGGATGATCACGTGGAGTGCGGAGAAAGCGCAATACGAGGATTTTGATTGATAATAAAATATGCGAGATCAGAACGACATTTGGCAATTGAGGTCAAGGTGCGTTTTCGAGGACGCAAAGAGGGTCTTGTTGGGTGAAGACAGCGAAGAGAAGGCCATCGTCGGAATGCAGGAGGACGGTGGACAGTAGTTTTCCGTCGGCGAAGCTGTTATCAGCTGCTGTCTTTGTCTACTATCTACTAAATACCCAGCTAAGTACAGAAATAGGGAACTTACTAAAGTTACTAAGTACTAAGAGGGCTAGGTAAGTTATCTACCTTTGAATGATCATTTGTAGACCAATCACATTCCCGTCTCAGTGTCAATCGACTCCGATCGCGGCCCTGTTCTGTGCCCACCAGCCCTTATCAATCGAACAATGAGCAGAGATGGCATGCCTCAATCAGCATGTTCACACCCAGTCGGAATTTTTACGCCTCGAGAAGTCGGATCCAGTGCTCCGTTCGTTCGTTCTCCCGGAGCTCGCGACATCATGTTCACGTCCAAACTCGTTGTCTCCCAGCTTGATGCATGTGACCATCTCTCTACCCAAGTTTCGATCTTTTTGAATAGAGTGTGCCTCTGTATGCTTGAATAGACCTTTGTACTCTCTATGAGGGCTGTAAATGTATGTACAAACTGAGCACATTAATCGGTCTTGAGCATGAAGCAGTGTATAATGTAGCTACCCAAACACAAACCGTTTCCAGTTATCTGCCAGTCGTTGGACCCCCTGTTGTAAAGACCAGCCACGGAGGTCACAGATCTGCCGGGCAACTTCCTCGAGCATATCGTCCATCTGCTGTCCCGCAGTGTGAAGGTCGCTCTCAATGAGTACTCTGTCCTCCGGCAAAGCTTTGATAACTGCGACGACTTTCTGAGACGACGGCCCGCTGAAATTGATCACACTAGAAAAGGAGAAGTAGACGTCCGACGGGTTTGCAGGGTTCAAAAACTGCTTCAATTGCTCCACTGGACCTGAATACGAATGCATACAGATCCGGGGTGGATATGGGAGAGGTGTATCTTCGCGCTTTAGTGACTTTCGCGCTTGCTCGTCTTCCGCATCGCTCTCTGTGTGGGCGCCTTCAACGCTAAGACGTCTTCGTCTCTCCCGCCGAGAGGGTACTCTGCGTTGATGCCCTAACCATAGCTCCTTGAAGACATCAAACACCACTCCATGCGCTTGGACACTGTGCACTGAGACTGGTCGTCGAAGTTCCCCGGCGAGGCGAAGCTGGGCTTTAAGAATAGCCTTTTGGTGTTCCATGTGCACCCGGTAGGGCGAGAGTCTTCGGCCTTCGCGAGATCCGGGCGTCATTTGCACGTTACGATTCTCAGCCTCCTGCTGGGTCCAGGCCTTTGGAAGTCTGAAAGCACGATCAAGGCCGACCTCGCCAACCAGAGCGTTTGGAAAGGCTAGTAACCGTTCGCGTGTTTCGGAGATGAGTTGCGAGAGGGGTTTCGGGTCAGGTAAAGAAGAAATGAAGTCATCATCTTCCGGAGCTGGTGTTAAGACTTTATGATAATGAGATTTCTTGTTCTCAGGATCCAGGACGCCCTGCGCTGCCTCCGATGATAATTCCTGATCGTCGACGACTAGGTGTGAAAACCATGGATGCCATCCGAAGCATGGGAGTACACGATCCATCTTCGCATCCTGGACCGTCAATTTTTCATTGGTAAGATTCTTAGCTACTTGAAATACAAGGCCCTGATCCTCTGCTCGAGTGGCCATGACTGTAAGCGTCGTTGCTTTCATCCTTGGGATATCAGATATTGACGAAATGGTATCGGTGGGGTGGCAATGGGCATCGTAGACCCCGAGCTCCCAAGGAAATTCGGAGACCTTGTCATGCTCATTTCCAGGCATGTTCCTCCGGTTCCTATGCGTTGATCTCGGTGGTAGTATGATAGATATAACAGACAGTTCAGGACGACAAACAGAATGCGGTGATGTAATTCAGACACCCAGATGATGTTGGAAATACCGATACCGTAACTGTAATTACTGCCTGGGGCATCACTTGGCATCAACACATCACATGCTTTTCTCCGCACTTGTTGCTGTCAAGCAGAAGATCCGATAACAAGTACGTACTTTTAACCTCCATTTGCCATCGCAGGCTTTCAAGATGTCGTGGCTCTCTTTCCATGATTGAAGCTCTGATGATATGATGGATATACCTTTCCATCCCTTACAAGTCATCTGCTCTCTTCAAAACTTATACTGAATCCCGTCGTGCGTTTTCGTCTCCATGTCAACCACGTGCTCCACCTTGTTGACAGTACCTTTTTTGGCACTCGTTTCAGTTCCTCTCATCTTCTCGGCATATATCACCATCTGTCTCTCTGCGCTGACTTTGTTTCTACGACTTTTCGTCATCTATGTTGAGCTATGCTATGCTATAATCTCAAACTACTTTGTGATTTCAACATCAAGCAAGTCTTCATTGCTGAATTTTGCCTCTGAACCGACCACCCCAGCCGCCTCTGCCACGCCCAAGAGGCGATCCATCGATCACGGCGTCACAGTGATATTGCCACACTCCAGCAACCATCGCCAACTAGCCCCCTTTTCTCGTGGGCAGACTCGCCCGGCGCCAGCTCGACGGCGAAGTTCGAATTCTTCAACCGGGCGCCCCGACGGCGACTACGCCCGACCTGTCCGCAAGGAAGAGCTGCGCAGGAACGGGCTTGCTACCCCTCCCTCTGCTCTGCTGACTCTTGTCAGCGGAGATGAAGGCCGGGACTTCGAAGGCGTGGGCGGCTGGCGCTGCCCACCATCCGCAAGATCGCAGGGCCATCTTTCCAGGTCCGCATCGTCCTCTTCAAAGGACAGCATAAGCGACGAGGCAGATGAGCGGGCCTGGCTCTCAATCAATGATCGTCTCGAGCTCCCCTCGCAGCCCTTTCCACTGCGGAACCACCCCGAAACGGCAGACATTCTGCCCTGGAGACACAGGCAGGCCGCTTCTCGTAGTCCCGATGGCCGCAGGCAGCGCCATCACCACCGTTCCGCAACCACCTCCCTGATTCCAAGTCAAACTCGCCAAGCTCCTACTTCTCCGTCAGTATCCCGGTCAAACAGGTCAGAGTTCCATTTACCGGCCGGCTCGGAGGTCCGCCCCGGAGGTATCTCTCCGCGGCCACGGTCTCAGGACGCATCATCTCTTTCGACATATTCTAATTTCTTCCGTGCCATGGTTAGTGTGCCGCAGACACATTCACATTTGCATCCATTAAGTTCATCCGAGGGCCCGGGTGGTTACTTTGCTTTTCGCCCGGGAAATGGAGCGAATAGCAGCGGGAGTGCAACCACAACAACGGGCACGACTACACCAGTCGAGGATCGCACAACGCCCCGTAGTATGGGAAGATTCATGGCTCATTATCCTACAGGTGTGAGATATCGTAGACGAAGTGTGTCGGGGCTCAACTCTTGATCGCAATTACCCAGTCCTTCTCTGGGTAGAGACCGGATCTTTTGACTGATTGATTTTTGAATTGAGATTGAAAGAACAGCGTCATTGGTAGTTTTGCGTACTGACGATTTGATCTCCCAATTTGACTAACGAGTGATTATGACATCTACAATTCATAAGACCTTGCGACTAATGCTATTTCACCATGTCTATGAATTATACACTAATGATACACTCCGTACGTCCAACCCATCTTGGGAAAGTTTCATCTAGATACGAGGAAAGAATTGCTGTAGGGAAAAAGGTATATCGCTCACAATAAACAGCACATCTCTTGCGTCACTTCCGACTCTGGGCCCTTTCCCTTTGACTCACCTCTTCCATTTCCTCCAATACCACTTTATTGAATTCCTCCCATCCATCGAGGTAGAGATGATGGCCCGATCTCTTGATGATTACCACCTTAGCCGAGCCATTCTCCTCCTCACGCTCTTCCGGTGAAGCATTCTGAAGCACCCGCCGTTTCTCCTCTTCAATCTTGGCCTTGGCTGCGACTCCTCCCGTCGCATCCATCCAGTCGTGGTCCCCATACATGAAAACAACCGGAATACCGGTCTCGCGCTTGACTGGAGGTAAGGAGGCCTGGACATCAGGCGCAGACTGGGCCGAGTCTGAAGATGGAGGGTGCGAGGGAGAGGCGTCCGTGACTTTCGCAGGCTCCCAGCCGGATGCGGAAGGCTGAATCATCTGCCGTCCGACGTTCTGGATGCGCCGGATCAGAGGGCTACGCGCAAAGGCTCCTGGAGCTAGGATATATGCAAGGGCATACTCTCCACTGCCGCGTTGACTGAAGATCGAATAGGAGTAGTCGTGCAGAGCTTTCGCTTCGTCGGCGGGTAAATGGGAGAAGCGCCGAGAGGTCCAGCCTGATACGATGCGGGGCCCGAGAGGGCCAGCCCACCGTACCAGACTGAAAGGGGAGATGTTGGCTTCCCACAGATAGGCGAACCATTTGGGAAGGTTGCGGCGGGCTGGTCGGCTCTCCTGTGTTGCCGCCGTCGCCGCGTTATCGTGACCTTTGAGCAGCCTGTTGTTGTCGCCCTTCTGGATCACTTCAGGGGGGACAGACAACGATGTCTGCGCGATAGTTTGCTGGTCCTGGGTGACCTCGTTGGCTAAGGTGGACTCGGATGGTTCGGGCATATCCGCCGAGACAGCATAAGGATCTTCGGGGATCCCAACCGGAGAGGCGAGGATCAGCTTGTTCAAACGACCGGGGTACTTCAAGGCATAAGCGACCCCCATATATCCTCCCAAGCTGTGGCCAAGCAGCGTGAAGCGTTCGATCTTGCGCTTCACGCGCCATTCCTCCAGAGCATCAACGAACCAATCCTCCGCCTCCTTGATAGCATCCTCTCTGTTCTTAGCCTTGATGCGAAAAGGTGGTCGGGTGCTGCGACCCATGCCCAACATATCCAATGCGTGCAGTTGCCACCCCTTCAGCCGACTTAGAGGTTCGAAATTCTTGTAGAAGAAGCCCAAACCCGCACCGTATCCGTGAAGCATGACCAAATGCTGGTCCGCTTCCTCGCCAACTCTTTCCACAGAAAACTCATTGAGAGCCCTGTCCTTGCCGCTCAACTCAACCATGCTGGAACGCCATCGTCGCGGTCCGTACGGATCGTTGGTGGAATTGGCCGATACTTCACCTTGCTGGCTGAGATCGGCCGACTGGAGACTTTGAGGCACACCATCGCGTTGAGTGGTGGTCTTACCGGTCTGCAGATGCGTAGGAGGTTCATGCTGGAGATAGGGCAAGAAAGAGAGAACTTTATGCTCTGCAGCAGCAGCTGGCAAACTAGCCCACTGGAACCAAATCTCAGTGACTTGTACACAACTTTGTCATCCTCTCCCGCTTCAGGAACCTACCCATTGATTGAAGCCTTCTCTGTAGCCTACTGGAAACCACGAGGAGCGTGCCGCAGCTGCGTTGGCCCCTCGGACGGCATATGGCGTGCCCTCTTGTTGGGAGACATACGGACCATGATGGGCTCGATCGTGAAGATCGTCCTTAGACGAATTGAGTGATTCCGAGGTCATCGAGGACGTGTAGCGTAGGTGGATTGCGGAATGTGGCGAAGAAAGGACACGGGGCGGTTCAAATGACGTCCAGGGTCGGGAGACCTGGGAAGAAAGTGAAGGAAGTCGCACGGTCGACAGCTTGTCGCGGTGAAGTCCAGAGTGACAGGAAAAGTACCCCTGTCACTCGCGCAAAGAAGACAAGAAGAATATTTATAAGAAAGGGGTGCAGAGGTCGTAGATCCGTCAGCAATGGAAATAAGAAGGCCAGGTGGGCGTGTTGAAGCGGTAAGAAACGAAGCCAAAGACCGCTTATCCCCGAAGCTCAACAGGCAGCCAGAAAGATGACGAAGTTGGAGCAAACCTGGATTGATTAGGTTTTCGTAGGTGCTGTAGTCGTTCGTAGGGGATCATAAGTCGTGGAAGTGCGATGAGATGAGATTAGATGAATAACAAAAACGGTTGAATTTGTTGCAGTACCTGAAGGACGTTGAGTGGAGACTCAATGATGACGATGATCCGGCTGATTTTCTTCTCTTCTCCTCTTAGTTTTGTTTCCGTGAATCGTCCAGGGAACTAGTGATACTGTACTCCATAGCTGGATGAGCCGCAATTATTATCAACCTTATCGACTTTACTCTTTGGCTTCGTCTTCCACATCTCATGCGATGAAATCGCGTCTGGCCGCAAAGGCCGTGCAGTCACTCTAAGTCTACGGATATCCTCTTCTGCTTCCACAGGGATCTTCTCCTGTTGATATCTCTCCCCTCCCTCCACAGCGTCATGGCTGCACAAAACCGGAGCCTGGATCAGCTTGTCAAGGGTTCTCCAGCTCCTGGAAGCCGTCCAGCGTCCATATCCAAATCCTCTGATCAGTTGAACACCCTTCAGCCGCCGTTCTCTCAAGATGCCCCGGATTCCTCTTCCCCGCCCCGTTCATCGACTCCGGATCTGCTCTCGACGTTGCCCTCGTCTCCTCCTCAGATCTACCTGAATCTCCTCATTCTCGAAAGTTCGCTGCGAGCTCAATATCTGGCGCTGCGTGAACGTCGACGACAGAATACTTTTTTCCTGCTCCTGCTGGCTGCCTGGATTGCCTACTTTGCTTACGCGCTCTTCCTTCGTCCGCGGGAGGATGGTAGCGGGGTGGGAGGCTCCATTTACTGGATGGTCGAAATGGGGGAAAAGGTCGCGCTGCTAGGAGGAATCGTCACTGCGTTGTTAGTCTGGGGAACAGGACAGTGGGAACGGGGAGTGCGATGGCCACGGCGCTGGCTCGCCGTCGCCAACCGCGGCCTACGCACCATGAACACCAAGATTGTCATCATCCGGGGTCCCTGGTGGCAGGAAATGCTATCCTACCTTTCCTTTCTCTTCCCATTCACCTCTCCTTTCTTCCATTCTCCAACGGGAAATTTCCACTACATCGAGCGCCCGTCGTCGGACAAGCGCGGTGGTCGGCAGCACTACCAGCAGTATTACAACAACGTCGACAGCGAATCGGGCCTTGTGGAGGAAGATCTCAGCCCCGGGGGTGACTATATCCGTCTGCTTCTTCTTCCCAAATCCTTCTCGCCCGAATTTCGCGAGAACTGGGATGATTACCGAACCGAGTTCTGGGAAAAGGAGAACGAGCGACGCGCTCAACTGCGCGAGAAATTGCGGCAGAAGGAGCGCCAACTCGCTCAACAAGAAGGAGGCTGGTTCTGGTGGCTCGGACTCGGGTTAGGCTGGAAGGCCTCACAACGCCGACGACTCGTCGCCGCAACCCTCAAATCCAGCGACGGAGACAAGCATCGTCATCACCATCATCTCTCCAGCATCTCCAAACACAGCCACGACCTCAAATCTCCCATGCGGCGTGGCACGCGTTCTGAGTCCCATTCCCGCACCCCATCCCGTAGTACGACACCGGTGGACATCGACGATCGTCCGCCGTCTCGCTCTTCCGGCAGCAGCCGTCCTCGCCGGGGAAGCACAACCCCGTCTTCCACTGCTTCGGAGCAGAGCATGCAGCAACGGAAAAAGAAGGGCACTAAATCACTTTCGCGCGGGCTGTCGCCTTTGACCCAAGCACAGATCAGGGAAGGCATCTATAGCACGCCGTCGTTGTCGTCCGACGATTCGTTCCTGGGTGAGAGTCTTGACGGAAGGCAGTCCCGTGAAGCTAGTCCCTCGGCTTAGTTTGGAAGCATCCTATGTTCATAATATACCTCAATTAGAACCATTGCATGCATTGTATGGGTTTTTGTGTCCATGTATCTACAAATGGAATCTCGGATTTTCGTCAATATATGGATTTACTCTCCACCGTGCCTGTATGGCTTTAGAGGACTGAACGATCTTCCAATACAAGAAAATAGATCTAGAATCATGGAACGTTCTGCTCAAACTCAATTGCAGTGGTCAACCAACCTTATGCCAGGGGCTATGCATTGAAAGACATTATTGTCAGACATGGACGGACTATCCAATTGTGTGACTGTGTCACTTGCATACACATGTAAAATAAACTCCGATACGCCATACTAAGTATCCGGTGCAACTCAAGCAATTGACTGAAAATCCATCCCTTCTTCCCGATACACTATTCTAACCACTAGTATGCAATACTCGTTGAATTCAAATCCTGTAAACAGTCTCGTCGTCTTCGAGGAACCTGTGAGCAAAAGAATATTAGTCAGGCTTGATCATGGCAAAATACCTTTCGGATGACTTACATCAACTCATTTCTTTCGTTCATGGCTTTCAGTGCCTCAATTGCCTCTGCTCGCTGGAAGACATGGCTTGCTCCAAGCGAGGGCGATTCCCGCACAGAGGTATTAACTGCTCCAATAAGCTCCTCCACATCGGCGGTGTCGCCGTGAGTGAACAGCCGTGTGCCCATGAGTGGACCTAGAGCCTGACGGAAAACGGTCAAGCGCGCAGGTTGGATAGGCTGCGACGAAGTAGTAGATCTCAGGGCACTCTGTGATTGTGAATCATCGGTCTGAGACTGAATGAGCTGCGACGCTGGTTGCGAAGAAGCAACAGACATCCGAGATTGGCTGTCTGTCTGCGTCTGCGTACGGTTTGTCTGGCTTGACCGCAGTCGCTGGCCTCGAGGGCTAGCAGAGTACAAACCGTCCCCGTCTTCCGACACGATGTCTCCGTCGGCATCCATCTCGTCCCCGTTTGTGGTGGGCCGCGTAGCTGCTGAACGTGTTTGCATTGTTCCAATTCGCCGGCTCGATCGAGGCGTGGCGGTTTCATTCGTAGGGGTATTGTCATCATCGGAGTCGGACTCGCTCGATTCAGAGTCTTCGTCGAACGTGGTGACCTTTCTCCTCTTGCGGCGTTCATCCTCAAGAACCTCCTTGAACATAGCGAAGCGCAGAATAGATTCGGCAACCTTGGCATCTCGCTCCTCGACTCGGTTCGATAAGCGAGCCTTCGCATGCGCCGTGGACAAACGAATTAACGTCTCCAGCGTACGCGCGGTGATAGGGGAAGTTCGACGCTGGTTGCCCGAGAGCTCATCATTTCTTAAAGCCGAGTACGTCGCAACGATATGGTCGGCCGCGCCCTTAGTGAGGACTGGCTTGATTCTCGATTTGGAGTATTGAATGTACTTCTTGATGAAGGGAATACTCAGAATTTCAATGCCCTTACCCTTGCGGCTCGAGTTGGCCATTCCAGCATGGAGCATAACATTGAACTTCTCGTACACCTCCGTCGGCTGGTTGGAGTCCTGGTTATCCTCGAGTCCAACACCCAAGGTCTGATTAAGTTCTTCCCGAACCGGGGCACCCTCCTCGGTTCCAGGTTGACGGTAACGGTGCATGCGCAAGACGTGCTCTGAAACCATTCTGTCCCTGGCATCTTCAATATCGTCCGTCACAACAAAAAGTAAATCGAAACGTGAGAGCAGTGAATCAGGAAGGGCGATGTTCTTGTGAGGGTCTTTGTGAGGGTCATATTGTCCGTAGATAGGATTAGCAGCTGCCAAAACACTGCAACGAGCGTTCAAGCTTGTGTGGATGCCAGCTTTAGCAATAGTGACCGTCTGCTGTTCCATCACTTCGTGAATAGCCACTCGATCCACATCGCTCATCTTGTCAAATTCATCAATACAGACAACACCGCGGTCACCCAGGACCATCGCACCGGCCTCCAAACGACGCTCCCCAGTCTCCTTGTCAGAGGTGACAGCGGCTGTCAGACCGACTCCCGAGGAGCCTCGACCAGTGGTTGCAATTGCGAGAGGCGCTGTATTCAATACGAAACGAAGGAGTTGCGATTTGGCGGTCGAGGGATCACCAACCATGAGGATATTGATGTCACCACGCAAATGCGTGCCGTTATCGAGATTCTTCTCCATTCCACCCAAGAGCATCAGCAAGATCGCTTTCTTGATATAATCGTGTCCGTAAATGCTAGGTGCAAGAGAGTTGGACAGCAACTCAAATACGTTCTTCTTTTTCGCGACTTTGTTAATGTTCCGAATGTCGGTGTCCGTGATAGTAGCTTGTGCAATGCCTCCACCAGATTTTGAAGACAGTTGAATAATATTGTTGGCCATAACGACCGTGCGAAAAGTCGAAGATCCAGAGCCGGCATTTCGGTTTCCCAAGGAGCGGTAAATTCCCACCATCTGGATCCGGTCTCCTGGTTTGGCGCGGTCCACCAGATCATCGTCCAAGATCACGTCGACACTCCGGGGAAGCTGGCCTGCAGGTGCTCTCTCAGGCATTTCTTGGATGGAAATGGTCTGGTGATCCAGGTATGTCGAGTACCCGTATTCTGTGATCAACTATAAAGACGAAAACAAAGTCATTAGCGATAGTAATCCAGTGAAGACTCTTCCTTCGATGGCATACCGGATTCTTCTCATCATCTTCTTGGGGATAGACATTCATGTTGGTAATTCCAGTAGTTGTCATCGTTTGATCTCTATACCGCCTCGCAACGAATCGGTCTTTCCGCTCGTTGTAGTGCACACTTTGGATAATTTTTGGGCGAACCAGAGAGCATTTTGTGACAATACCCTCGAGAGAGATCATTCGGTTCAAGTGAGAAGATCCTAGAGTTCTGGGGTTACAAGAAAACTCTCCGAAAGCGCCAACATAGGCACAGTAGTAATTCTGCAATTCATCAGTAAAGATGCGGCGCGACCAGGATCTTCATTAAAATGTGCATACCACATCGTCAGCTGTTTCCCTTGAAGGTCGGCCCGGCAATGTCTTGATAACCTCCTTCAAAGCCCTGTCGAAAGCCTGAGAGTAGTCGAACGGGGAGGTAAGCAGGCTAGAGAAAGCATCAGCCTACCATGATCATAGCAATACTGCAAAAGTGCTGGACTCACCCATCTGCCAATTCGCGGTTATGAGCTCTGATCTCATCGATGCTGACCTGCGTGCCTATTAGTTTTGTTTTGTACCAACCTTGCAACTTTATATATAGCATACCGTCAAGCGACGCAGTCCCCGGTTCAGCATCAGCACAATATCGGCTCGGTAGCTGTTCGCTCGTCAGAACCATCATGTCTCAGCAAGGGAGGCTATTTGTGAATCTCAACGGACCTTCGCGCGCGGGCATCGCCTGTTAGGACCTCTAGTCAGAAACTTACTTCATGAAGCATGCATGTGGAAAACTCACTTGGATCGAGAAATTCGATTGCAGCTCTCACTCGATCTTGAGCGGCCTCATCGCGGAGTTGCACCCCATCCATGACGAAGGATGCCCACGAGGTGTGGATTTATGTGACAGAGGTAATCAATTAGGCGTTCAAAGTCTTAAGGATCGAGTTTGATTTCTTTCAACACTGCAATTGAGGCTCACAAAAGAACGGCGAGGGGGGATGTTCAATTTGTTCCTTGAATGGCTGATTAGCGGAGGGATCTTTCTTCAAGAAACACGACACCCAAATCGGGCATAATTGGAACGCGTCCTTTCACTCTGACGCGTCGCGGAATGGTCGCTTAATGACTCAGCACAAGTAATTATCACGTGATGAGGTACATGGTTTTCCAGGTCTGGCTCCAGTGCTTGGTCCATATGGTAGCCCTATATTGTCATTATCAGCAGTCATATTTTACAAATTTCCTAAAAGTGGATCTATATATCTATAAGTAGTAATATACAATTATAAGTTCTGATATACAAGATTGACCAAAGCGGGGTAGGTAAAAAATCCTATACATCCTGCTCCATACCACTGTTGTGTAGCTCGTGCTCTGGCTGGCCTTGATGCCCAGTAGGCGGTTTTTCTTCTTCTCTCCCGTCTGCAGCTTCTGGCGTATCTTCGTCTGGGTATGGCAAATCGTCCATCAAGGGAGACATATCCGTTTCATCGCGTTCATCGATTGTAACGCGGTGTTCATTGTCCAGCAATTCTTCGTTCGCTTCTAGCACAGCGCGTCTGGATCCAAGGAGCGCCTCTGCCTCGATATCGAACTGGTCCTGGGGGTCGATGCTCTTGGTGCCATGTATGGACACGTCTTCAGGAAGAGATTCCGTCTTGACACCAGGAGCGTTTGTGCCGCCGGGTGCTTCTTCGTGGATCACACCTGGCTGGGACCGCGCGCTGGCTGAAGCATTTTCCTCTTTGTTCGCTTCCATCGCTGACTGCTCAACCGCTGTTGGAGACCTTGGTTTGCCACCAACACCAAGGATACCGCCAGTCCACACAAAAGGATCACGGTCTCCAGAGTCTCCCTTCCTGTCACCTTGCTCCTGACGACGCCGAAGTAACACTCCTTGGAACTTCTCACGAAGGTATGGCATGTCCGCAATGGCTGCAATAGTTTTAGGCGCAACTTTGTAGAGAGTCCCCACCTCTAATCCTCCGTCAAAAATACTCCTTTCCCGGAAGGCATGTAAGGCGGACGCCAGATAGACCATCGAGATATATGTAGGTTGCATGAAGTCAGGCTGGATTTTGCTCCAGTAGCGTCGGGATTCTTTGCCGAGCATGTTAGGAGGTTTCGCACGTCTCGGGTTCTCCATGACATCAATGGTTGAAGGCACGCCAGGCGGTTTCACTCCATAACCCCGGCGAAGATTATTCCATCCAGGAAAATTAGGCATGAACTTGCGCTCAAAGACAGTGAACGCCTCAACCTGATCAGAAGGCTTGTCAGAAGAGGCCAGCATCTGCACGAATGTAGACCAGTTGAAAGTTGTCAGAGAAAACCCTGCTTTCTGTACCTCTGCTACGACTTGAGGTATCCTCCAGGTCTCATTCCGATATGCCAATGATCGCATGTACAGGGAGAGGGGTCGCGACAGCAGAAATCGACATGCCGGCAAGATTGATGGCTGCGTTAAAGCAAGTACGCCCGGCTTGTCCAACCTTAGGAGCACTTCCTTGTGAGAGTTGGCAGGGGTTGGTATTGGATAACGGGGTCGCTCAGTCTCTTCAGCACGTGGCAAGCGATCAGACAGACATTCATCAAGGTCAGGCTGAGTGGCCATCTTGATGACACGGGGAAACGTGATTTTCCAACATTCTTCAACCTTCTTATATTGCTCTGCTTTCAAATGAGCAAGCATCAGTGCAGAAACGAGACGGAGAGGCGCCACATCATAGGCGTGCCGTGCATCAACGGGAGATTGCCTGCTGCTGAGAAATTGATCGAAGAGCTCTCCGACCCTCTCAGAAACTCCCCGGGTGCCATATGCTGTGATGAGATATTCATAGTACATAGCGGGGAAGGCTTGGGTGATGGGTAGTCTCCCCGCGCCGGGCAACGGTTGTTTTGACGCCATGTTGGTTCTGTCGAAATCGGCGATTGTCTCGGCAAGGAATCTTTCCGCGTTCTCTAACCGAACACCGGCACCACTTACTGCCCGCCCACCGGTTTTGATAAGTTCCAAATCACGTTGGAGCTGGCTTTTGAGAACGAGAAGCCGCGAACTGAATCCAGGACGGTTGAAACGTTCTTTGATCTCGCGAAAAATGATGTGCACCATGTCTCGATTCCGATCTTTCACATAGCCATACAAGATGATAGCATAGTGAAATTCTGTGGCGTACATGCGATTGCTCCGATGAAGTGTTCTTAGAATTCGGCGCGCGGAATCGGTCTGCCCTATGAGCACCAAGCTGAGCATGAGAGCCGCATATGTCATGGAGTCAGGTTGTACTCCAGCCGAATCCATGCGGGAACGTATTCTTGAGATAGACTCCAAGTCCATGCGAAATGCATGATTCCAAAGCAGCACGTTCCACATCCTCACTCGAGACCCTTTGACATTTAGACCAAGGCAGGTCTCAGCAACACTCTCAGCCATTTCAAGCTCCTGATTGTTACAATAGGCTTCAACGATTGTATCCAGCAATGGCGCAGTGATCCGCACAGGGCTTTTCTTCGCTAATGCGAGCAACTCACGGACAGTGTCAATATCACCTCTGTTTGCACAGAGTCCCATCAGCGTTCCGAAAGTATGAGAGTTAGGCTGGACACCCTCCTCCAGCATTTTGTCAAAGGTAGCGAAGGCTCCTCCGAAGTCATCTGCATTGGCATACGCAGTGAGGAGGATGTTCCAACATACAGTGTTCTGCTTCAGACCGAATTCTTTCGATATTCTCTCGAACTGGCGACGCGTCGCCATTACATCTCCAACCCGCGCATGGACGTAGAGGAGCGGGGTCAGAAGCCTTCGACTCAAGGGCTTCCCGTGATGTATCACAAGCTGTTCAAAGACGCTGTCGGTATTTTCCACATCCCCGGCTCTTGAAAACACAATGAGCGCGTTTTTGTACGCGTCAATGGATGGCTGGCCGTAGAAATGGGTATATTCCTCCAGGAAATAATGTACTCCAGTTGTGATGTCGAAATGGGCCAAAGTCCGCAAAAAGCCACCCAGAAGATCTGCTGGAGGCACCTCCTGTTCCATCTGCCAGCGAAGGTTACGGTACACCACAATGGACTTCGTGAATGTAGAACGAACGTCGGAGGACTGGAGGGTCCGAATGAGACCGAAATAGTGTTCCGCCGTGAGAAACCCCAGGAGATTATACTCCCTTAATAGAAGAAGGATATTATCTGTTGATACCACTGCGACTTGGGGATTTGAAAAAGCATAGTCCAGCAGAAACCGGACAAGACCACTCCAAGACCTCGAGGTCTTCCGACTCTGCAATACTCCGGCGAGATCGAGAAGTTTCATCGGAAGGCTAGAGCCATCCAGCTGAGAAGCGACCGCACTCAGCAGCACCTTCTCCGAGGATGGCGGCCGCGAATTCCAAAATTCCTCGGCAGAGTCCCATTGTGTTTTATTGACAAAATGCGAAAAAGCGAGGGCCCAACAAGGAATACCTCGGCCTCTGCTTTTCGCGTCTCCATAAACTCTGCTCATCTCATTAGGCTGTCCAACAGCCAAGTAAGACTTTGCCATGTACAGATAGTCGTCGGCGGAACGATCATCAGCAGAGATTTCCTCGTATAACCTCTGAGCCCGTCGATGGTCGAGGAGCTCTGATGAGCTACTCAAGCGCGCCAACAACGCCGCATTCGCATCGATGGGTTGGTCAGCTCTCACATAGAGCCCCCACGCCTTGTCATAGTTTCCTCCTTTGGTGTCATTGAGAAGTGACAGAAGCTCTTGTTTGGCTCGTCTGCGATCAAATTCATTCACCCTCCTGTCAAAAATATCCACCACTGGTTTATCTAGATCGACAGGCTCGTAGAGACTCGCAGCCTCCGATGTGTAAGCCCTGGTGAGAGCAGGTATCGGCTTCTTCTTCCGTCGCAGGGCAAGTCTCCGGGGCGAGCGTAACAAGAGCGATGCAGCAAATTCCTGGGTACGTGGAGGATACAGAAAATCGAGAACCGGGGTCCATGTATCGGTATTTGCTTGACTCGCCTTCGAAGTGACAGAGGTTATCGAATCCTGGTGGTCTGATGTTTTATCGGGCGAATGTGACCGATTGACAGCGTCCGCAGTTGTCCCATTTCTCTGCCTGAAATGAGGATACCACGATCTCCGACCCCGAAGTGCCCCCTTGGAATCCCGGAAGAAACGCCGACCTGCGTTCTCAAGGCATCCGGCAGCCCGTTCCAGCATTACCTTGAAAAATCGCGGTGCCAAACCCTGATATCACCGATTCTCGACTGCAGAGCGTAACATATCGGTATCAATCCCTTCAAGAAATTGAGGGAAACGACAAGGTACCCGATCTTTCGAGTCTTCGCAAAGCTCCCAGCTGAACGATAGGTGCTCCAGAATGATTGAACGATGCAGGAAGGTCGAAAAATTGCCACCGACAAGGTTCCTGAGGCGAATAAAGGGAAATCAATCGTTTATCCGTATTTTCGATCGTGTCGGTTGTATCAAATGTGGGTTTAGTCTATTTTGTAAGTGATATGATGTGGTGCTTGTAGCAGACGAAATTTTGACGGGTCTTGCATATGAGCTTAGACGATGCAGCAAAAGATGTTCCCGCGAAATCAGCCGGGCATTCGTTTGGCCGAGATCTGACCACGCCCGCCAACCCGCACTCTTTGGACTCTCCACGTTGATTCCAAGCGACCACAATTCCGGACCACTTCCGTTTGTGTGGTAGCCTGCTTTCAATAAATATGGAGATTACGGATTTTATTTTCAAACAGAGAGAGGACGTTCTCCTCGCCGGAGACTATAACGCTTACCGGGCGCACACAACACGCAAGTTGCACAAACTCCGCAAGAAGCTCGGTCAGACTACTCCTAAAGGTCGTAAATATACTGCCAAACCTCCCGTCAGTGCAGAGGATATTAGCAGTAATGTGGCGTATGTGTCCTTCAATATGCTTGGTCGTGGGTAAAGAAATAATGCTCAATCATACTGACGGATCTATCCTCAAGATACGTACATATCCTTCTTCTCAGCTCCGAGCGGGCTTGGGCACAAGCAATGCACATGAAATCCACGCACTCAGCCGACCCTTCAGCGAAAGGAATAGCAGGTTCAGCCAGGCGTCATATTGTGTCTCGTCTGAATAAAGCATCCGTCTACTCTCAGCAATTGGTCCTTCTGGTGGAGGACCAAACAATTTCTGGTGCTACTGATACCGACATCCTTGAAGCCCGTGCTTACCTTGCTTCACTTTTGGGGGCCCTATATTTGGAGAAGCGGAAGTGGGAACAATGCATTCAGAGCTATGCTATCTCGAGGGTTATCTATACGACTCTAGGTCAGGAGGACAGAAAAGATGCCTTCCGGGATCTTCTCACTGGCACTGTTGATCCCAGCATCAGATACGCAGCCTATCAGATGAAGCTTCCCCGGTCGAAGCCTCTGTCCTCTTTGGCGATCCAGTTTTTCCCATCAGATGCAAACATTAGGTCGGAAGTGGAAAGAGTGGATCCCGATTGTCTCAAGGAGGATGGTGCAGGGACGAGAAAGACTGCCGACGGAGAGATCCAGCAACTTCCTGAGAGTATCACTTGGAGGTCGCGGACTGTTGCTCTGGAAGATGCTGCAATCTCGCAAGCTCTTGCTTCTGCGGCTGCGGCAGAGTCGCGTCTCAAGTCTTGGCTTGCAGATGCGGAAGGGAAGTCGGCTTCGTCAAAAGACAAAGCTGCCGCCTATGATAGTGTTATTATTGCCAGCCAGGACGCAGTCGACGCTACTAAGACTGCCATCGATGATCTAGCTAATGAAGGTGTGGATCCTAGCGATAAGAGAATGCAAAGCTTGCAAATCACTCGTACCGCGGTCAACTATGCCTTGGTGGGATGGAGAATCGGACGTAACCGAGTTTTGTGCGGTGCTAACGACGGCATGACCTCCGAAACTGACAACACCAAAGGGGTCAAAAGGGGAAAGGACGCGAGTCGGGAAGAATCGACCGGGAAGAAGTTGACACGGCTACGGGAAAAGGTTGTGCTATATGACTCAGTCTTGCAGAGCATCGAGTTCATCCTGGAGTTACCTGGTGTTGCTGCGGACTCCACGTTTGTGCAAGAGCTGGAGGCGAAACGCTGCTACTTCCGTGCTTTGAGGTATGAATATCCAATCTTGCTGGTCATTACAATTCAGTCTAACGTGGCAATTCTACAGATGTTTGTCTATTGCACGGTCTCACTCCTACCTTGGAAACTCGAAGAACGCTCTTGCGCTCTACTCGCAAGCGCTGCAGCTCACCACCCAGTCGACAGCGTCTGACCAGTCGTCTCAACTGTCAAACGAGCCTTTAAGGCTGGATGTCTCGCGCAGCCAGGTTCAAGATCTCGGTTCGATCTTGCAAGGTCTTGTCGCACAGTACCGTGGTCTCGTCACCTTGGAGAAGATGGCAGCCGAAGGACCTCAGACAGAAAACCAGCGCCCAGTGATAGAGCGCCTGCACGAGTTTTCTGGTGATAAAGTGGATTTGAGCAACCTCGTCCCCTATCCGCCTAAAATGCAGCCCATTCCGGTCAAGCCACTCTTCCTCGATGTGGCATGGAATTACATCGACTACCCTCGAGAAGGTGCAGACGCTCAGGAAGAGGCCCACGCCCCCGTGGAATCGGGAACAGAGGAGAAGAAGGGAGGACGACGTGGCTGGTTTGGGTTTGGGCGCTGATATAAGGGCTCACTTCCTGAATATCGTTGTTTTCCTTCGGCGCTTGATCACCAAGTGCTTAGAAGAACACATCTGGATACTATTTGCCTAGTCATCAGTGCTATGAAGAGCATTTGAAATGATGAAACCCATGCAGCGACCAGTGCTATGGATGAGATTCTATCATAGAAGTCGAGATAATCTACCGTATAAAGTAATGGTGTTACGTTTAACTCTTCGCTATCCCTTGCGTAGGAGCCCGAGGCTCTCAGCTGATGCCTTAGGTGTCTTTTAAGTACGGAGTCTGTGAACACGTGCTCCGGAAACCTAACAGCCGGATCAGCTGTTAAATCATTGAACCGAGTCGACTTTGGAACCTGGTGACGAAGATCACCCGAAATACGGACCCCAAATGCTCCCTTCTGCAAGGGCCTAGAGTTGGATTTTATTGGACCTGATTGCTATCGTATGAGTGTCGATTGGACAAAAACTCCTGGCCGTACTACTTACTACCTTAGACAACCTTACCTAGGTACCTAGATATGGCGAACTTTCAGGGAGCCTTGCACCTTATTGCATTTGGGGGCGATTTATCCGTACTTAGGTCAATACATTCCAGTATTATTGGTCTGTATCATGAAGTGCTTACAGATACAGTTGGATCTTCCCGTCATGAAGTCAATTCACGTTTGGAAGTTTCGAACAATGGTCAAGTTTAGGTTCTCGAAAAGTCTTGCCCTCGTCAAATCCCAATAGTATTCCCCCGATAGTTACTATCTAGATAAGCTTTGCTAGTTTTAGGTGGATCTCAATGCAACTCAATTTGTACTGTTAGTCTGTTACTGTCTTGACTCTTCCATGACTCTTGAGTCTTGAGTGAGGTTCACGGCATGACTGTATGGGCTGGGTGGCACGTGCTCTGGCCCGTTTATATCAACTGGTAGGTCAACCGCCAAAGGGCGCTGAAGACGAATTTCGGCCTTTACTACGGAGTACGGAGTAGGATACCAGGCCTTGAATATCTAGCCAGATCCTCCCCACCAGATTTGCGATGTCAATGTACTCGCAAGTCGCAGAGAGCGAACAATCAGGGCCAAGGGTCATAGCGTGACCTAGCAGCTGCTAGGGTGTGTTATGCTTAAGGTAACTCAAGGACCTCCGCGTACTTTGATTCCATTTTTTTGCAGAGGTTATTTCATACGGAATACTCCGTACCTGTAATTTCATACGGAATACTCCGTACCTGTACGGAGTACAGATATTGAAATATGATACAAATACGCCATGCCAGTAAGGTATTGAGCTGATACCTATTGTAGGTTAGAACAGTACCTACTATTGGTTCTATAAAAGAAACGATCATCTTGGCGTAATTCGCCAACGGCTGGGGACTTTAGCCTTCACAGACTCGTATTTATGATTGGTTTGCGGATCATTTACAGTCTCAGGGGTAAAGCAAAAAAGCAAAAAAGACAAAACATGGTGATTTGATGATACTACTCCGTACTATTGGCGACCTCGCTTTGCATGAGGCGTCTCCAAAATTTTTCCTCCCTTTTGTCGACGAGGATTATGATCCATGTCTACCAGGCAGTCCCAGATTACCTACCTACCCAGGTACCTAGGTCCTTTCCGTATTTTTGATATTTTCAATCATCTCTATCCGTAGGTACCAATATATCTGACTCGTTCAGAGGAAACTGCATATCTGGTCGCTTAGGCCTCGCCGTACCGGGAACCGTCCTATCCGCAGTGTCTAATTTCCCTAGCAGCATATTAGTATTATTTTTCCCCTCCCGCGCATTTATTAATAATTTATGAGAACTGCATCTCCCTGAATTTTTGGCTGTGAAGCCATCTCCCTCCTCCATCCTTCCACTAGAGCGTGCTATTCGCGCTTGATTGTCCGAGATGGCCAACATCAACGGGAGCTTTGTCTCCCCTTCGGCTGATGCCACAATCTCTCCTCAGCTCTTTTACAACGCGGACTTTCTCCCTGCAGTTCTCAATGGTTTCACTTTCTGGAAGGCTTTGGCGACTTTGTTCTTCGCAGCTGTTATCTATGACCAGCGTAAGCAGGACCCGATTTGTCTCCGTTTCAATGCGACGCGCACATGGTATAGGGCGAAGTGGCTGATTTGCACCGGATACAGTGCGATACTTTTATCTCAAGGGCTCCATTGTTGGACCGACCTTCAAATTGCCTTTTATGGGACCTTTCCTCCAGTCTGTGAACCCCAAGTTTCACGAATACAAGGCAAAATGGGACAGCGGCGAGTTGAGCTGCGTTTCCGTCTTCCACAAGTAAGATATCACCCTGGATGAGAAATTGCGTTTTTCTCCTTTGCCTGTGCTTGTTTCTGACAGCTTTGCCTTGTAGGTTCGTCGTCATTGCGTCCACTCGCGACATGTCGCGCAAGATCTTTAATTCGCCCGCTTACGTCAAGCCTTGCGTGGTAGACATCGCGCACAAGCTCCTGGGCCCGGACAACTGGGTGTTTCTGGATGGCAAGGACCACGTTGAGTTCCGAAAGGGATTAAACGGACTCTTCACACGCTCCGCTCTTTCTTCCTACCTCCCCGTCATGGATGAATGTTATAATAAGTACTACAAGCATTTCCTGGAGAAGTCCAAGGCTAGCGATTACAAGCCCGAGCCTTGGATGCCTGAGTTCCGTGAGCTCATGTGTGCGGTCTCTTGCCGCACCTTCGTCGGTCACTATATGACTGACGCAGCCATCAAGAAGATTGCGGATGACTACTACATGATTACGGCCGCTTTGGAGCTGGTCAACTTCCCTTTCATTCTCCCCTTCACCAAGGCCTGGTACGGCAAGAAGGCGTCGGATATGGTTCTCGAGGAGTTTTCGAATTGTGCTGCCAAGAGCAAGGCTCATATGGCTGCCGGTGGAGAGGTCACTTGTATCATGGACGCATGGGTCAAGGCACAGCAGGATTCTGCCAAATACAACGAGAAGATTGCCAAGGGTGTCCCTGTCGAAGACTCCGAGAAGCCTTCTCACCTGCTCCGTGAGTTCACAGACTATGAGATCGCCCAGACTGTTTTCACTTTGTTGTTCGCATCGCAGGACGCCACCAGCGCGGCTTGCACCTGGTTGTTCCAGCTCATGGCCGATCGTCCCGACGTTCTTGACAAGGTCCGGGAAGAGAACTTACGCGTGCGCAACGGCGATATCAATGCTCCTCTCACTATGGATCTGGTCGACGAGATGAAGTACACTCGTGCCGTCGTCAAGGAGACTCTGCGTTACCGCCCTCCCGTTATCATGGTTCCCTACCTGGTCAAGAAGGATTTCCCCATTACCGACTCCATCACCGTCTCGAAGGGTTCAATGATCATTCCATCGGTGTGGCCTGCCACCCACGACCCAGAGGCGTACCCTAACCCTGACTCTTTCAACCCCGACCGCTGGATCACTGGCGATGCCGAAAAGCACCCCAAGAACTTTTTGGTTTTTGGCACCGGTCCCCACTATTGCCTGGGTCAAACATATGCTCAGCTGAATTTGATTGCAATGATTGGAAAGGCCAGTCTGGAAATGGATTGGAAACACTCCACAACTCCTCAGTCTGAGGATATCAAGGTGTTCGCCACTATTTTCCCTGAGGTATGATCTTTTCTCCATTTTCCTGTCTACCATGCACTCTAACTCTGTTTTAGGACGATTGCCACCTCACATTCCGTCCCCGCGTGTGATCTCTCTCATCTCTCAGGTGATCTAGCCTTGACATCTTGGTCCACGCCGTAAGCAACACTATGCGTTCGCTTGCATTCTGCGAAGCACGAACGGCCAATCGATGATCATCCGGCGTCTATTTCTATCCTGGAGATAGAGTGATGAGGACATTTTTATTCCATTCGATTTTTCTATTGTTCCATACAAAAGGTCACTGGGTCTATCAATTGCGGAAGAATGACTGGAATGGAGATGTTCAGCATTCTTCTTGACGAACCATGCTTATCCCAGGGCTCAAGAAGTCCCGAAGGTATATGATTTGACGCGATTCATGCGGAATCGTCTGCTTCAGTCAAAAAGCTGAAGCAATGGCATCTTTAGATTATGCTACTTAGTAATATTAATTCCCAGACTCTTCGTTCTTGTCATGTTCGGTTTCGAGTGCTCTTGTGCTCGAGGCGTGTTTGGTTGTAAATAGATTTAGTCTACATATGTATAGGTTTCTCTTGTCAATTCTGATTGTATTTTTTCCTGACCACTGCGATTCCAGTAGCCTGCTTAGCATGGTACTAGGCGCCATGGATGATCAGCTGTGCAGCGAGCTACCTGGAGATGAGGATTAATCCGACAGCCACTGATTGTTTCAATATCGAAGCAAGTGTATAAGTAATCTCCCATATTAAGTTGGGCCTGCTGTTTTGATACTGCTGCTAGCTTTGGAGATTCTTTCATCTGCTTTTCGTCTTATGTACACTTTACGTTTGTGTTGGTAGCCTTGCACAAGGTACCTAGAATTGACAGTATATATCATCGGTTGCATGGTAAAGCGAATTCAACACCGTCGACGGAGACGACATGTAGAGATTCTGCCACAAGACAGCAGCAAGCAGAACAACGCAAGCATTTTCCTAGGGAAATGATGATTATAAAGACCGGAAATCAAGTCGAATGCTGTGATGCCTACAACAATTCATTGAGCTGAGCGAGATTCTGGGTCCGAAGCGGGAAGCGGTGATCTTGCGGAAGATTGACATCACCCACCGAAGCCGCCGCAAGAGGGCCGAGCTATCTCACACATCTGGATATCCATCTGCGTGAGTCAACCTGGGAGTGAATTTATTGTCTCGTCGGTAAGCTTATATTGATTTCTCCGAGATTTTCCCTTGTCCTTTGGATATGCACGAATCCCCAAGCGAAGAACCACTGCAGTGAACTTCTCTTCTCGGCGCGGAGAACCATCGCTAACGGCCCATCTCAAGACAATAGACCGCTACAATCATGGCCTCAATCCTCTCAATCCGGCGCCCCGTCGCCGCTCTCGCAGCGCGTACTGCAACGCAAACCCCGCAGAAGGCTGGCTCCCGCGCTGCCGTAACGACCTTTCTGTCCTCACCAGCAAGCCCCCGAAGCTACTCTCCAGCGCCGAGGCCGCAAACCGCAAGGCTGGCGCTCGCATCGAACAACATCCAGCAGCGTCTATCACACCAGCAGCAGACCATCCGCCGCTTCAACTCCGCTACAGCCCCGTCGCTCCGAAGCTGGAAGTTCGAAGACGTATGCCCCTCCCACTTTCGGACTCATCTACCTACCTCAACAACCAGTTCATCACCAGACTCAATGCTAACAACATGAATCGTGCAACAGATCAACGCCGCCCTCCCATCCGACCCTAACGGCCCCCCATCACCCCCAGCAACCCCGCAAAGGAAACTCATCCTCGTTGACGTCCGCGAGCCAAACGAACTCACCTCCACCGGTATCATCCCCACCGCCGTAGCCGTCCCGCTGGCCTCTCAGCCCGATGCGCTCTTTCTGACGCCTGACGAGTTCGAGACCCGCTTTGGGTTCCCTAAGCCCGGGGTCCAGGAAGAGGGACATATCGTCTTCTACTGCAAGGCGGGCGTGAGGGCGAAAACGGCAGCGCAGTTGGCTATGCAGGCGGGGTATGACCCGGACAGAATCGGTGTCTATGAGGGGAGTTGGTTGGACTGGGCCGATAAAGGTGGGAAAGTGGAGAAGTGGGAGGGGGGCGAACATGAGTAGGGTGCGGTATGTAGTAGTAGTACTTGGGTCCATCGTTTCCGAGACTTCTAGCGATGTTATGTACTTGGGGTTATCCAATACTGATATAGTGGCTCTGATGAGCTGTCGACCAATCCGCGAGCGATTGACTACTGACCGGATATTGTTGCGATGGAGGCACTAGGAGGGAGTTCGTATCTATTGATACTACAGGATTCTGTTTGGGGATAAGATACATAAATCAGAGGGGAATTCATTCGAAATGGAAATATCATTATAACAGAACATGACAAGATACAGACCACATCAACTCATGTCATATACAGGCATATCTCGCTTTTGGGCAATCACAGTCATGGTCAAATCTTCATGCAAGTCTAGCACTTTTTGACTTTTTTTCTTCCTGCGGAGATCATTGCGCTTCGTTGACGAGGTAAAATCAAAGCCTCCTCAAATTGAGGAAGCAGAGGCTATTTGTTCACAAGTACAAGTAGCCTCCTTTGAAAACCCATCTCGAACCTGCTGCCCACAATGGTGCCGTCTGTGCCCGTAGTTGCCATCTCACCGTGCCCGATACCTTCAAGCAATCAGGAGCATGTGGCGATTGTGGGCTTCCAGCAGGCGACCGTCACACCTCGGACGAATTGAATCAAGGAATATCAAACACGGGCTTGAGCTTCTTGACGAGAGCCCATTCCTCCATCGATACGTCGGAACGGTAGAACTCCTTGAGGGTGTCGATACTGGCACGGGAGATGTGCGAGTAGAGGGTGTCCTTCTCTTCCAATTGACGGCCGTACATAGGCTGGTTGGCTCCTTCGATCTTGACAGCGACGGAAGGTTGGCCCTTCTTGCAAACCTGGATAGGCTTGTGGTCACGCTCAATTGACACACTACATAGACTTGGTTAGCAATAGGAATGTCAAATCAGGGTCAAAGTAAACTTACACTCTGCCGAGGTCGATGATCTCCTTAGCACCCGTAGTGGGGTTGGTCTTCACAGCAGAAATTGGCGTGTGCATTCTCAAGCTGCCTTCAATAACATCCAGACCAATGACGATGGGGTCTTTCTTGTTGAAAACAGCAACGGGCCTGAGCACACAAGGGAAGACAGCGAGGAGCTTGGCCTCTTCCTTTCTCTTCTCGGTCAACTCTGCCATGTGCTTGGTGAAGTCATCAAACAGGTGGTAGATAATGTCGGCCGTGAAGATCTTGACGCCAACTTCTTCTGCGTAAGCAGCAGCTTCCTTGTCCACCTTGACGTCGAAGCAAAGCATGACGGCGTACTCCTTCGCCTTTTCCAACATGGTACCACACATCATCACATCACGTTTGTAGACAGGACCGATGGAAATGTTGGCAACAGGAATCTTGGAGACACGCAGGAACTCAAGCAGAGCCTCAAGAGAACCGAGAGTAGAAGCCTGGACACTGACACCACGCTGGTCACGAGAAACCTTGCTCAGCAGATTCTCCAGATCGGACATGACTTCTTCCTCAATATCCTCCTCGTCGTCGTCAGGTCCAACAACCATCAACCGCGAACCGGCGATGGCATGCTCGAGGTCGTTCGCAGCGATCTTGACACCAAGAGCGGCCTTGACCTCCTTGTTGTGAACATATTGCGACTTGAGACGAAGTTCCTTAAGGGGAGCTGGTGTCAGCAATGCTCGAATATTCGTTGCTATAGGGCCGTTTAGACCGCAGAGCACGATTCGATCACCCTCACGGAGGATACCGTTCGAAAGAACAACGTCAATGGTTGTACCAAGACCCTCGATGACCTTGACCTCGAGAACAGTACATTCAACTTCGGACAGGTACATGAGCGAGTTGGTCATACGCTCCTGAGTCAGGGTGGTCAACAGCTTCAGCATGTCGGGAATACCTTCACCGGTGTGAGCGGAAGTGGGAACCAGGGAGACATTGCGGGCCATAGACTTGTTCTCGTAGTAGAGCTCGGCGTTGAAACCTTGCTCGGCGAAGAGAACCTTCGTGCGCTCAAGGCGGGTGCGGAATTCGTTCTGAACACCCTTGCTCTGCATGGCTAAACTGTCCTGAAAGCCGTTGTTGTCGATCTTCTTCCAGCCATAGAGACGGTCAATCTTGTTCAGGGCAACAATGAAAGGAGTCTTGCGATCCCGAAGCAATCTCATGGACTCCAAAGTCTGAGGCTCGAGACCGTGCATGATATCGACAACCAGAATGGCGATATTACAGAGAGATGAACCTCTCGAACGCAAGTTGGAGAAAGACTCGTGACCAGGAGTATCGATGACCAGCAAACCAGGAATCTTGAACTCAAACTTGCCGTCCTTGTTCACCACAGCGGTCTTCTGGCGCAAAGCGTCCACGGGGAAGTATGTAGCACCAATCTGCTGGGTAATACCACCGGCTTCGCCCTCTTGCACGTTCGTCTGTCGGATCTTGTCCAGTAACTTGGTTTTACCGGTATCGACGTGTCCAAGAATACAGCAGATGGGAGAACGCAGATTGTCCTTTGAACGAGCGGCCAATGCTTCCTCATGCTGTTTCTTCCTCCGCTCGGCAGCTTCAGCCTTTCTTTGAGCGATAGCCTTCTGCGCCGCGGACTGCTCCTCGTCTTCCGAGTCAGATTCCGAATCTTCCTCTGAATCTTCCTCGGATTCAGACTCAAGCTCCTCGGCCTTCTTTTGGGGTGCAGCTGCGGGCTTGGCTGCGCCGTTTGTGGCTGGCTTCTCCTCCTCGTCCTCCGAAGGAGCATCCCAGCTGTCCTTCACGTCTTCTTCGGCGTCAGCAGCCTTCTCCCAGTCATCCAATTCGCTCTCCTCGTCAGCAACAGCAGCAGTAGTAGCGGCGGCCGCGGCGGCAGCCTCAGCCTCAGCCTTAGCCTTCTTCTCTTCTTCCTCCTTTCTGCGTCGTTCCTCCTCAGCCTCGCGTTGAGCGCGAGCACGGGCAGCAGCAGCTTCAAGGTCCTCCTCTTGCTTCTTGGGACCCTTCCTCTTTCTGTTGTCATACACGGGCTTCTTCTTCTCAATTCCCTGCTCCTCGAGACCAGCAACCTTACCCACACCGGCTGCAAGCATCTGCTTCATGCGAAGTTCATTGCGCTCCTTAGCTTCCTTCTGGGCCTTGGTGAGAAGCTTTCCTTCTCTTCGGAGCTGCTCCTTCTTTTCCCTCTCCTTCTCCTTCTTCCGCTGGCGAGCCTCTTCCCTCTTCTTCTCTTCCTCGGCTTCCCGGCGCAGTCTCTCCTCCTCCGCGGCCTTTTCTTCAGCTAGACGTCGCTCTTCCTCCTCACGTTGTTTTCGGAGAGCCTCCTGTTGCTTCTGAATAGCGGCCAGATGGGCGGGGAGCTTCTTCTTCTTGCCAGGTGCCTCAGGAGCGGCCGCAGCAGGTGTAGGAGCAGCAGCGGCGGGCGCTGCCTCTTCTATCTTCTCAGCCTTGGCAGGCTGGGCCTTGGGCTCGGGGGCAGTGCCCTTCTTCTTTGCGGCCTGTAAAAAAATCGTAGATCAGCACCGTACTCAAACGCCTTGCAAGGGACAATAGTGCACCAGACATGGGACATACCTGCTCCCTCTTACGCTGCTTCTCTCTCTCCTTCTTTTCCCTCTCCTTCTCCTTCTTACTCTTCACGCGGAACTCGCCATCTCCTTCAGGTTCAGCCGGGGCCGAAGGTGTAGCCTTACCAGTCTTCTGGCTCTTCTTTCCGGCGAAAACGTCCTCCTCGTCGAAGGTACCTTCCTCAGGCTGCTTGTTGGAGAAATCTGCATCCCCGTTCGCCTGCTCTGTCGCATCCTCGCCCTCGACGAAATCGTTGATCGGCTTCCCCTTCTTGGCCTTCTTGTTCTTATTCTTTCTCAGAGCAGCGAGGAGACCGCCACCCATGCCATCCTCTTCGGGAGCGGCGTCCGCAGGAGTCTCCTCCTGAGGCTGCTCACTGACGGGGGCAATACTTTCTCCCAGCTCGGCCTCCCAGTCGTCATCCTGCTTTCTGTTTCCCTTCTTCTTTGGCGCCATTTTCTAAGTTGGAATGATAGGAGCGATCGGTCTAGTGAATGCGATGAATCGATAAAAATTCGCCTAGATGCCTCGAAAGTTAGTATAAAGGCGATTTTTCTTTGTTGCAATAATCGTAAACGAGCTGTGGCGGGCACACGAACAATATCGAAGTCTCCGGGCTGCGATCCGCGGCAACCAATAAAATCAGATCAAGAGGAGCGGCGGCGAAAAAAAAGGCCAGCCTGAAATCTCCTCAACAATAGGAGTGAAAAAGAGAGACGGCGTGAAAGGTACAGAAAACCACTTTTTCCCCCCTCTTCTGGTGGTTGATTAAACTCGAGCGGCGGAAGCACGGTCGGTGCTCTTGGGGAAATAAGAATTTTGGGTTCGTTTGGTGGGGACTTGAGTTATGCGAGTCGAATCGCCGCCAGTTGGTGGCACAAGACGGGCATTATTAGTAGTACACGGCTACCACTACTCGCCACCATCAATGACAGCCAGTAGAGCATAGATACACTTTGTCTCTGAAGTTCGAGTCCTTTTTTATTCAAGACTAAAACAATTTGATTTACTCAGAACTTTCTTAAAGGTGCTATGTTGGAATATATCTATGCTGTTCCTATATCGAACCACGAGAATGCGTCCATTGCTACTAATACACAAAGGAGATGATTAGCGCTCTCCCAACAATCCAAGAAAGACCATCGCTGCATGCATTGAATCTATCATCTCTTAAATTCTGAAGCACTGTTCAATTCAGAATTCCACGTGAAGAGCCTTCTCCAACCATCTCATAACATTTTCGACTTGGTCAGGGGATTCTCCCAGCAGATCGTTGGACAGCTCAGTGAATCGCTCCAGGGTGGCTTGAGCAGTGCCGTTTTCTGGGGAGGCTGCGTCTTCAAAGTCCTGGGCCGTCAACATTTTAGTCAAATAATCCGAACCACGCATCACAAGGCGACTTAGTATGTCACCGTCGATGTGCATGTGTGAAGGTTGGGGCTCTGCGACACCATTCGTCACCGGGTTGCGTCTTCGTTTCC